GGCTCAGGAAGTTGTTCAGAACTATAAAAGAATGCAGATTTCTTCTAGGTGTGCAGTGAAAGTTGACTTGAAGAAAGCTTTTGATTCGGTCAATTGGGAATACCTTAACTGTGTAATGCTACAAATGGGATTTCCTCAGCTTTTCCTAGATTGGATTCTGGTTTGTCTCAATTCTGCTAATTTTAGTGTGTTCCATCCATGGTAGTCTATTTGGATTCTTTCAAGCAGCAAAGGGAGTCAGGCAGGGGATCCCCCTATCCCCTTCCCTGTTCACCATCGCAATGGAACCATTAACAGGTCTCCTAAACCAAGCAACAGCTGCAAATCTGATCCCTTTCCATCAACAATGCAAAAAGTTCGAGCTCACTCATCTATGTTTCGCAGACAACCTTCTGATCTTTCCAGAAGGTTCTATCAGGGCTTTGACTGGAGTTAGGCAAACCCTGAACACATTTTACCAACTGTCAGGTCTGCAATGCAATCCTGAAAAAATGCGAGGTTTTCTTTGGAGGGTTTGCTCACCAATAAAAACATATAGCTTTACAAGTTTCAGGCTTCAGAGAGGGACACCTACCTGTGAGATACCTTGGTCTCCCTTTGATCTCAGGTAAACTTTCAAGTCTTGAATGCTCTCTGATCATTGACAAATTGACAAGACGTGTTAGAAGCTGGAAAGCTAGCACTCATCCACAACTTTTTTAGGGGGGGGGGGGGGGGAGTTACAACTTATTGAATCACTGTTATACTCTCTCATCCACTACTGGATGGCAGTATTTTTTCTACCCAAAAAAGTTATTAAAGCTATCTAGAAAGTTTGCTCATATTTTCTCTGGCATGGGGACAAATCAGGAAGAGTAAAGGTGGCATGGGAGCACATAGCCTTACCTACACAAGAGGGAGGTATGAGATTGAAAGATTAATTCTCCTGGAATGTGGCATGCATTGCCAGATTAATATGGCTTCTTCTCATGAAAGGGGGGAGCTTCTGGGTTTCCTGGGTTTACTCTCATCGGTTGAAAGGAAATTCTATTTGGGAGATAAAGATCATTGATGCAGGCTCCTGGATCTGGAGACAAATGCTAAAAATCAGACCTTGGCTTCATTTTAGAATGGATGTGGATAACGATGGCTCTGTCACTTGGCAAGGGTGCAAGTTCATACGAGCTTCTGTTTCCACGATCTAGAAAACAATTCGCATCAGGAAACCTACAGTTGACTGGTGGAAGATTATCTGGGGTAAATTCACTCTCCCTAGATGTCGACTCCTATCTTGGCTTGTAATTATGAACAGGATAACAACACGGGACATGCTTAAGAACTGGGGGCTGCTGATTGATGATAGTTGTCCTCTATGTGCAGCTACTAGTGAATCTCGACAACATTTATTATGCGAATGCTCCTATACTTGCGAGTTTCTTTCTGCAGTACTCAAGACTAATATTCATTTGCCTAGAACCTGGGAAGAGATGGTTTTACTAATGACACATAGTACACAAAAAGATGACAGCAGAGGTAAGATTGAAAGTACTATTTGGCGTTGATGCATTTCTTTCATATGGAAGGAGAGGTGCAAGATAGTATTTGGCAACAATCCGAAGCAGACTGCAGTCCTTGCAGCCTTGTTGCAGGAAGAAGTGTTGCTATTTAGCAAAGGTAATGTGGAGTTCAACACCTTTCTCAGGAGTATCCCTAATTTACACAAGATTATTGACTCTAAGTAGGTGTTAGTGTCTACGGTTTCTTTCCCCAGATGGGAGTTAGAGTGTTGGCAAACTTTGTTTTGTCTTGTATTTTTTCGAATCTTGCAATTTGCAAAGAGGGTGCTTTAATGAAAGTTATTAATTATCGGGGGAAAATCTCTAAACTACATCTCACACTTCTCTGTCCGAACTTAAAAATTTCTCCCAAAATACAAAATTAGAATGAGGAGATGAACGAACCCAAAATGAATTCCTCTGCTAGTTCGTCAGGCGCTGATTTCTTTCCATTCTTTTGATGAAGAATATTTACAAACTTGTTGAGTCGTCATTTAAATTGCTTGAGTGAGTGGTATACTAGATCCTAAAAGTTCTTTCAGGTTTTTTTATGAAGAAAATATTTATAAAATTGCTCGAGAGTTTATCCTTGAGATTTTGAAGGCTATTAGATGCATTCTTTGAAGAATGATCTACAATATTATTCCGCTCATGTGGTGCATAGTCATGAATATGAAGTTTCTTTCCTTGAAAAATTACTAGAGAAGCGGGTGGAAACAGAGATGGATACACAATACAAAATAGATTTGTCGGTTGATTCGTCTAATGTTGACCTAGCTCGTTTCAACGGCTACTACGGAGATAACATTTTCTGGAATGAAACATGTGAAAACTTATTTGTGCAACAAAATGAGCGATGAATTTCTCGTTGATTGATTAACTATTTTTTTTTTAGATAGAGTATGTTATTGGTATGGATGAAGACTCCATGATTAGATGGATTCGCTAAATTAAAAGACCGTCATGTACAATTGACATTGTAATGACAACTATAGTCATCATTTATTTTTTGTTTACGGCCCAGTACTCTACTATGTCCTGTATCCGCCACTGAGTTTAGTACCTACACTTTTTATATTTTATATTTTGGTACTTAAAATTTATTTTTTATACGGAAAATGTCATTGGAAAATCATATTTTGGCACATAATTTTTTTTACAGTGACATTTTAGTACCTAAAATTTTCAAATATTCATTTGGCTCTAATGCTTTGATATCATTTGGATCCATGGATCAATCCACCAATCCATATGATCCAATCCACTAGATCATGGCTCCACTAATTCAATTCATCAATATATGGATCCAATCCATTTGTCACCTCTAGTCATTATATTACATGTGGAACCTATTTGTAATTTTATACAGTAACTATAAGGTCATATGCAATTTATCATAATTTAAGATAGGGCTAGTTCGGCCTTGATGTAACTTTTGCAAAAAACTGCTTCTGGTTGGTGCTTTTAGAGAAATACTTTACAAAAAAGTAGTTGAGTGTTTGACAGAAAAACCATTAGAAGTGCTTTTTAATATAAGAGGTTATGTAAAATGAATATGAAGGATTTATAATATAAAATACGAATAAAAATTCTAAACGATCAAAATGGATCTTGTTAGATTTCTTTTATATTGAGTAATATGATTTTATAATCTATATTATTTCTAAAATGATAGAAAAGAAAGAAAAATTTTCTAAAAAAATTAAGATATGGTAAGGACAATCTTTATTTTCAAAACAGCTTTTCGCATAAGTTCCAAATTGGAGTTTCTGCTTTAATGTTATACAAAAACATTTTTCAACTTTTAAAAAACCGAACTTTTAGATGTGTTTGAAACTGAAACCATTTCTAAAAATCGAGCCAAACATAAACATAATATTTTTACTTATTATGAATAGATTTGAGTAATAATGCGATAAAAATTTGACTAATAATTAACGTTAAGCATATAAATTATTGCGATAATGGTTGTCAAACTCAAAGCTATTCTCCGTACTAGCATTGGGCCCGGCCGTTGGCCGGTGTCTTGTAAAATTTTGAAGAATAGAAAAAATAAGTAGCATGATCAGCAGCTATTGGTTCAGCTTAATCAAATTTTGAGCTTATAAAATTGTATTCGTCATAGAAAACTCAAATAGCATCGACATAAAAACATTATCACCTACATAAAAACATCCATTGTAGTTGTAATTACCATGAAAAAGTAAGAGCAATCAAGAAATACTTGATGAGAAAGTTAATTGAAAATGATTAAAGTAATGCATAGATGGGCAAATCTCCCTACAGCACACGATGATGGACTCAAGAAAACAAATGATTTTAATATAGCAGACCAAGTGTGTTGTTTAAGTAGTAGGAGGAAGTTTTAAAGCACAGCCAATCTGGAATCAATAAGCAGCAGAACCTTGGCAACAGTATTTCATTCATAACACCATCTATCAAACTATCTAAAAAATGCAGCAAGCCTGGTCAGGCAAACAACCTGCATACTGTCCACAACTCAAATTGAACAATAAAGGACAATCCAAAAGGGAATCAACCTAGAAATAGACGTTCAATATAAACCTGAATGAAAGATAATACTAAACACTCTGTAGATAAAAGCAAACTGCTAAACAGAAGCATGACAATGTGGCCCTTAACTGCATGAAGTTGCAGCAATACTACTTCTCATCGTCAAGGTCACCAGCAGCCTGTTTCCTTTTCAACCCAGTTAAGGTTGCTTCTCCAAGGTCTTCAGGACTTGGAGTCTTGGTCAAATGCTGCAATCAAAGTTTAGAAATAAGATAGGTATAAACTATGATAGTAGTCTGGTACAGTTTAGGCAAACTGAAGTGATGTGCAGCTTAAATGCATCTACGCGTGCCTGAAGTGGATCATGATCAATGCTCACAACAAAATACTTAGCTTCAGGGTTCAAGAAATTGAACTGAGTTAGTTTAACATTGAGTTTCAGTGTCACGTTAACAATTTGTTGAATCTGAGGCATAATAGGTTCTTTGTTCCTCTGGTTTGATTGGAAAAGCACATAAGCCATTACTCTGAAAAAATTGCAGCCCTTCATGCTCCAAGATGGCAAAATCAGCTTCTCTAGTATCATCTCGCAACAGGAATTTGACTCTATACTTAAGGGGAACATGTAATGAAATACAACGAAATCATAAATCTGCATTGCTCATCCATATGCTGAAGTAACATATTAATTTAACATCAAACTGATTCTGCAAAATGTGCAAATTGTAGGATGTACATAGCAAGAATCTGATTATCTGCTCACTTGGCTTTAACAATGGAAATTGGTACGGCTGGCCAGTCATCAAGGACAAAAACACATAAACCACTCTAATTAGTTAGCAATTGCATAGATATCTCTTTGGAAAAGGAAAAGAAGGGTCATCGCAGTACAGGTTGGGCAAAGACAAATCCGGTTGCTATATAGTGTTTTCTAGAAAACATAAAAGAGGGGGGAAAGTGAAACCAATCTAAACCAGAAAACTGAAAAGCTCCGAACATGAGGGGCTGCTGCAAAACCCTAATCCAGAGTTCCCTCCCTTCCCTTCACAACTCGAAACCCTACTACATCTCCAATTCCAACCATGTCTTCCCCTTCCTCCCCCGTGCTCTCCCTAGCTTCTCCTTCAATTCTACGTCTCCCAGAGCCAAACTTCCCCACACCTTCCATATCCACTCTTCCTCTTCTAATTCCAATTCTTCAGCAGCACTAGAACTAGCAATCTCTTCGGAATCGGCCGAAGATGAACCCCAAGACGACCCGAAGAGGGACACCGTGGAGCACTTGCTCACCAACCCAGACGACATTTCCAGGCTGATGAAGATGGAGAGGCGGCAGCAGGGCGATTGTGAGAAGCGATGGTTTCCTTACTTGGATGCGTTCAAATGTGGGAATGGCGCGTGCTTGAGTAGCGGAGAAGTGTTGGAAGCAATAGCGCCGTATATGATGGAAGAGAGGAAAGAGAGGTTCAGGACCGCCGTGAAGAACCGGAGTTACTCTGTTTGTCTGGTGGTGGAAGGGTTGAACGATTTCGGGAACGTTTCTGCTACGTTTCGTTCTGCTGATGCGCTCGGGTTTCAGTCCGTTCATGTCATCAACCCGGATAGCTCGAAAAGGTGCTTCGTGGGTTGAGGTGAACCGGATTCAAAATCGTTTCTTTTTTTCTTCTTCTGAAGTACATGTGAATCTTTGGCTGTGTTAAAGTACGTCTTCTAGTTTTCTTTGTAGAATCTCTTGTTTGGAAGGCTGGAATGAGGTATGGAATAGTGAATTGACGGAACTATATTACCACCTCTACCTACTCTGCAGGTATAGAGATAACCGCCATGTTAGCATGGGAGCTGAGAAATGGTTGGACATTGAGTTGTGGGACTCTACTGCAGAGTGCTTCCAAGTTCTCAAGTCTCGTGGATATAGAATTGCTACAACGCATGTTGGAATGGATGCGGTAAGGAATCATTACCTCTGCATTTTTGGGTTACTTTTCTACTTTGCAAATGATTATGTGAATGCCATCGATTTGAGTTATAATATTTATGAATCACCTTATGCAATTTTCAACAGCAGATTTTGAACCGTTGTTGGGATTTCTGTGCTATGCCAGGTATCGATTTATGACATGGATTGGTCATGCCCTACTGCAATAGTTGTTGGCAACGAACATAGGTATGTATCCCTCAAGCTTCGCCATTTCTAATCATAAGTTTTAATTTGAATTATTCCTTTTGGATGCGGAGAAAAGTTTGAAACTACCTAAGAGAGTTCCTTGCTATCCTGTAATGAGAACCCCGGTTAATGCTTCTGATGTTGAGAAGTTGTTTTTAGAACTAAGATGAGATTATGTCTTCTCACAAGGAGGCTTATCGTCCAATTGCACCTCCTCAATTGGATATCCCCACAAGCATCTATATATTTGTTATCACTGTTTTGTTACTGCAGAACTAGATTGCTGACAGAGGTTTTTGTGTGCAGGGGGATAAGTGACCAGGCACTTGGACTTTCAGATCTGCATTGCAGTATACCAATGAATGGCATGGTCGACTCTTTCAATGTATCAGTTGCTGCTGGCATTCTCATGCACCATGCTGTTTGTGACAGAACTTCTCGTCTGGTACCTTTTTCTTATGGCTGGTAGTTTATGACAATCGATATTGGTGGAAGGAGTTACGATATAGTATATACCCCGGATAATGTGTAAAATGCAGGGGCGGCATGGGGATTTAACAGCAGAAGAAAGTAAGATACTGCTGGCTGAGTTCTCACTGCGCCATAGCAAGAGCGCGATAAGCATCGCCCATGAATATGCAAAGAGAAGTAAGGCTTCCACGCCTGTACCAAAGCTGTGATGCAGACGGTAAGAAAAGCAAAGAAACATCTGCAACGGGCAAATTTGCGTTGGTTTCAATTTCATGAGAGGCAAAGAAAAAATCACACAGTTAATTGGTGCTTGCCGGGAAACAAGTGGAGGTGACGTGCTTTATCAAGTGCAGGCTCTAAAGATAGAACTCAAGCAGGTATAGATACTGATGACTTAGATTCCTTACGACTCAAAAACATTGTACTTGTTAGATCCTGCATCATTTTGATAATGGAAAAGGCTAGTTGATATTCAGAACCTCCCCTTATAATTGATCTCACTGCTAACCCTGCTAAAACTTGAGATGATTGAGTGTTTCAGAATGTTGTGGTGATGCCACCTAAGTCCATCCATTGATTGAAATCCTGCCAACATGATTGGAACTGATAGGGTGCCTGCCTTTCACAGAGTAACCGGACCTGACTGATGTGAAACACCCAGACCAGACGCATACAGTGCTCGAACGGGCTGGTCGAACCAGAAATCGTTCTTAGCATTTGTTTTAAACTAACTACCCAGAAATCAGTTGCTCATAGCTCTGTTCGATTTGATTTTTAGACCAGTTTCTTTAGAGCATCTAATTGCCTCAAAATCAAGGGCTCAAAAGAGTTTACCCTAAATTTGATCTGTCCAAATTTAGCAACAGAATATGCAAATTCCTTCAAGGAATTGTGTTAACTTTCACATAAAAACCAAATCATCATTTTTCTCTTATCCTCTTAAGAAACTCTCTTTTATCTCTCGTTTGAGTTTTCCCTCCTTTGAAGGGAAAAGCCTTTTCTAGGGTTTTCCCAGATTAAAGATCTTGTGATTTTTTCTCTGAGTTTGCCCTAGAAATTGCTTTGGTTATTGATGAACATAACTTAGTCTACTATAGATTAATGGTCAATCCAGGTACGTACACCTACATGCTTGCAATGCTCTTATTTGTGTTTGTCCATGATAATAATTAGGTTCAAAATTACTCTATTGGGTAATTGTAATTTATGGGAGTTCTCCTTCCCACGGCGAAATGATTTCTCGGCAAAAGGGAAAAATTATTTATTTTACATGAAAATTGACAATTCACATATAGCTTTGACTTACAAATGTGTTTTCTTTTTGTTCTCTTTCGTTAGGATAAGCCTATCACCATTTGGCAAGGAGCTGATCACTGAACTAGCCAAATGGGTTCGAAGATATCAAAGCAAGGGTCATTGAGAGTTGCAAATGCAACTTTGCAAAGTAGCACTCATGATTCATTGATTAGCTATCTAACCACAAGTAACATTTTACGTAACTTGGTATCCAAGCATCGGCGCCGAATGCTCATCGCCGGTTACGATCTCGATATGTCTTACATCACGGATCGTGTACTCGCGATGTCGTTTCCAGCCGAACGTATGAGAGCCATGTATCGTAACCCACTCTGGCAAGTCAAATCAGTGTTGGATATGCGGCATGGTGGACACTACAAGGTTCTTTGATTCCCAACATCATCTTACATTTGGGTAGAAATGTCTACAGATTCAATCGGATGAACGCGTTGATTTTGCCTGGTCTCATTATCTATCCATAATGACATTTTTTGTAAACACTTATAAAATTATCTTCATAGATAAAAACACGCTTAGGCGAACGATCAAGCGGTATTGAGTCACGCATCTATCCAATCCTATCAACACCATAGCCGAATTTATACGTACTTTGATATGTGCTTAATTGTGTTGGTGTACATTGTAGGTGTATAATTTATGCATTGAGCAATCGTATGATCCATCACACTTTCACTCTCGGGTCGAGGCGTTTCCCATCGACGACAATCACGTCCCAGCTCTCCCCATGATCAAGCTCTTCTGTGAAAATGTTGATTCCTGGTTATCTCAGGATCCTAAGAACCTTGCTGTTATACATTGCATGGTAAATTTTGGTTGCTAGAACGATTTTTCCTTTCGCACTCTGTTCCAAAGACTCCGAAATAAGCGTGCATGGATTCAATTGTCTTGGCCACTCGATTTTATAGGCTGGCAAAGGTCGAACTGGATTAATGGTCTGTGTTTACCTAGTCTACTGCGGCATGACAGCAGAAGATGCTCTCCAGTTGTATGCGAGTAAAAGGACTACCAACAACCAAGGTGTAAGTTTTAAGAACCGTGCGAAGGTTAATTCGACCCTTGAACTTTCTTCATTCGACGAATTCGGTGCATAAACTTCGAATCGAGTCAAGTCAAACCCCAGAAGTAGCAGGATTACCAAAGTTTTTCTGTGTTTCCAATTGTTGCAGGTGTCTATACCAAGTCAGCGACGTTATGTTCAGTATTGGGCTAGTGCACTTTCTTTTCCTAGGGGAATCAACAATGGCCCTCCTGATGTGAATTTGCCTCCATCATGTAGTAGAGAACTGCGACGAATCCGGCTCTACGACATTGTTAACACAGATTCTGTCTTCTTTGTGGTCTCAGAGTTGCAGGAGGTGAGTAAATTCCCAGTTCTGAAACTTGTTTCTCGCAGGCTGAATCTCGAGATAGTTGTTGTGTTGATCCATTTAGATATATCCACAGATTCCTGGTCAGTTATATCGACCATCGGTAGAGGTTGCCAAAGGTAGTTGTAGGCAAGTTAGGCAAGGATATCATAGGACTTATAGTCCTAGGTATTACATTTCTTTTGTGGAAGATGATGAAGATGGGAAGACATCAGATTCAGATCATCAGGAACCTCATGTTGTTGTCCAGATGGATACTGAGAGTTCCATCATCTACCAAAAGACATGTCTTGATCATTACTTTGAGAAGCCAGTAGAGGTAAGTAGCAAACATTTCTTGAACCAGAGTATTCATGATCAAAGATAAATCATGAACTTATTATAGAGTTTTTCCTGTTGTATATGAAATCATGCCGAACTATGCAGTTAAGTGGAGACGTTCGAATTATATTCTACGAGAAGATGATAGGAGGGAGACTCTTTTACGTCTGCTTCAACACATCTTTCATAAAGAACAGCTTGCTACAAGTACTACTGATAGAGAACCCTGTTTCCCTCTTTCTGTTATATCAAATTCAAGATTCTGTGAAATACAGTAGTAATTTTTTGTTCTTTGTGATGCTGTTGTAGTTTACACCTGGAGATCTTGATAAACTTGGGAAGAGAGGCAGGTTAATGTGTGGCCCTTCATTTTGCTTGGAGCTTACGTTTGGCCCTGCAAACTCAAAGTGTTCAGAGTTGCCCTTTGTTAGCAATGTTGATTTTAGTGATGGACTAGAAGAAATGTGACCAAGAACTGAGAAGAGCAATGTGATCCTCCTTTGTAATGTGGTTTTCGCCCTTGTGAGAGAACATTAATGTGTATCACAACTTCTTGTTGTTGCATAGCCATAGTTTCTATATCCATACTCAAAACTGCAATGAGCATTGAGATATAAGGAAAATCATTTATCTTTTCTTTGGAAGATATAGAAGAAAATGATTAATGTTCGGAGGAACTCATTTCTTCGGTATTTGATCGAGCATTTTTTATCTATATGAGAGACCATATTTTATGCTTCTATAAAGTCATTGCTCTGTTCTCGAAAACACATTCATCCTCCTTTACAGATAATATCAATAGGGGCGATTTCAATTGCACTCCTTGATTGTATGAAAAATGAGATGGTGCATCAAAATATCAAATGACATATTTACACAATGGATTCAATGATTCATTGTTTTCCTACAAGTATGAAAAGAGATCGAATAAATGAAAGGGTCAATCTTTCCATATGACGAGAGGAGTGTCTATATATATGAAATCAGGAAAATTGTAGAAGTTCCTATACTAGGGAGAGTAATTAGGTGGCTAAGATTGGATTCACCAACCAACGTTTATGGGTGTTTTTCTTTTCATTTTTACTTTCTTACATTTACACACTATTGTCAACTTTCAATACAAATCATTATTCACTCTAAAACTTACAAATTCGTTATATCTAAAATTTACCTCCAAAAAAATTTCACTTGCCAACTTTGTCCTTTAAGAAAAAAAATATTCTTGAAGTTACATTCTTAATAATTATTTCTCACATTTCAATAACTATTCTACTATTAAACTCACTATTCACCATCTCATAAAATATATTTTTTATAATAAAAAATATTCATTTTCCATCAACTTTACTTTTTATAAATTCTTACCAACCATAATTTCTTTTAAATCTTCGAAATGGCGAACACTAATTAATGAAGTTTCAGCAGATTTACGATAAAAAAAAAACTTTCAGAATAAAATTCATCAAATTAAAAAAGAAGTACAAAAAAACCTTTATATTTATTTGATTCACATCGGTTATATAATCTTTCGCTTCCTTGGATAGATTTGATCTTGTAACCAGTTACTGTCCATCATTTTTTTTTACCATGTTTATCATGTCAAGAAAAAAAAATTGTATCTTTCATTTTGGTGTGGCAAAAAATTTAACAAATTATGAAATCTGTTAGACCAAATATTGAGGCACATGGGTCCCAAGCCCACGAAGTCACTAAAAGCCCATGAAAGGTAAAGCCCACCCGAACGGGGGCATAAGCAACTTCGAAGGCGGTTCTCGGCGGGCCTCGGATGGAACCGCCCGACACCCGGACCTGCCCAAAGAAGAAGACCGCCCGACAAACCGGTCTAACGGACTTCTGTCCTTTGGGTACGGAGTCTGACAAGAGACATGACCAGAGCGAGCATTTAATGAAGGCAGAGGCGACCTCGAACGCCCGACAAGCTATTAAATGCGCATAACACCCTCAGAACTAGTATAAATACCCAATGATAGAGCTCATTTATGGTAACTTCTACCAACTCCATTCTCTCTCTTATTTACTTTCTCCTCACTTCTCTCTCTAACTTAAGCATCGGAGGAGGTCCCAGGAACCCCCTGAGGACCTTTCTGCAGGGTTTCGAAGACCGCCCCCGACCATCGAAGCCGCCCAAGGCCAGTGGAGTCTCACAAACCGCTTGGTACATTCCAGGCACAAACATTTTGGCGCCCACCGTGGGGCCCTACTACTTTGTGGCGAACAAGATGGGAGACGATTTCGAAACCCCCCTCAAGGGGATGACCGAAAACAACACCCTTCGAGGCTTATCACCGAGGGTGGAAGATGAGCCCGAGTTGGAAGAGGTGGTCAAGAACCAAGGGATGCAGATTGCAAGCATGCAAGACAGCCTTTCCCAAATTCTTCAACTCCTGAAGACCCGAGACGACCCCGCCGAGGGCTCGAGGGGAAAGGCGCGCGACGAGAAGCTGAAGGGCGTTCTCGTCCTCGACAGCCCTGCTCGGACAGAAGGCGGAGGACTAGACGCCGACGACCTGGACCTCAACTTTCTAGAGGAACACCTGCGGTCAACCTTTGGGAAGCACAAGAGCCCGAACGTTCTGCAGAACCCACTATCGAGAGAACTCTTCAAGACTCCGGTCCCCCCGAACTTCTCCTCTTTAGGACTTCCAACCTATGGTGGGACGTCCGATCCCGCCGACCATCTTTGCGCGTTCATGTTAAAAATGCAACTCATCAACGCGACAGACTCGGATCTGTGTCGTGCGTTCCCGGTTACCTTCAGCGGTCAACGACGACCGAGGTCAGCAAAGCCGCCCCAGAGGAGACGCTTCAGAGCGTGGATAACCTCGGAGGGGAAGGCGGTCCCCGGACCGAAGGTCGTACCGGAACCGGTACCCCGACCGAGAAGGAAGAAGAGATGTCCTCTCCACCGACAGAGAAATGGGAAGGGACCGAAGGAAAGGCGGAAGGAGGCACGAGACGTCTTCCGTCCAGGAGCCGCAAGAAGGAAAAAAGTGGTGCGACTGGCACCAAATCACGACCCACGACACCACGGAGTGTAGAGAGTTCAAAGCCACGCTCCGACATCTGGCCCCGGGAGACCTCAGAAGCAAGTTAGAAATGAGGCGGTCCCACAGAGAACACTCGGCAGAGGAGCGGGAGGAGTCCCCAAGTCCCGAGCAAGACAAAACGAGACGCTCGAGAAAAGAAAGATCAAGATCCCGCTCTCGAAACAAGGTCGCCTCCCCGAGGCAATCTCCTCCCTACAGAGCCCCTCGAAATGAAGACGATGGGATGGAGGTCATAACGATTGCAGGAGGCCGGAAGCGCCCAAGAACTGAAGGAGACCGCATCGCACATTGTCTTAACGTGCAACGGAGAGCTCCGACAGAGGTCGCCTTCCTACCGTCCGAGTTAGCCATCGAAGAAAACTCGGAAGACCCCTTGGTCATTTCTTTTCGAACCGCCAAGTTCAAGGTCACTAGAGCCCTGGTCGACAATGGGAGCTCGGCGGACATACTATTTTACTCCGCGCTCAAAGGGATGAAAAAGAGCGTCCAGGATCTTAACCCTTCCACCACCAGCTTGGTAGGGTTCTCGGGCACCAAAGTCCGGGTCCTTGGCTCGATCACGCTCAAAGTCACCATAGGAGAGGGAGGAATCACCAAGACCAGACCCGTAGAGTTTCATGTGGCGGATTGTCCTTCGGCGTATAACGCCATTCTTGGACGCGGATTCCTGGCTTCGTTCGAGGCGGTAGCATCCACATGCCACCAGATGCTTAAGTTCCCAAGCGGAGGACAGACCGGACGCGTTTGAGGTAACCTACAAGAAGCTAGAGAGTGCTACCAAGCCACCATTGAACACCTTGAAGTCGATCTGGTTGACACTAGAGGTGACGTCCCGAGACCGGAAGCGGTCGAGGGAGATGTGGCGGTCGAGCTAGACGCAGAGCGGCCAGAGAGAACAGTGCGCATCTCCGCACACCTCGCCCACGAAGAAGCCCAGAAACTACTTGTACTCCTCAGAGAGTTCCAAGACCTCTTCGCATGGGGGCCAGAGGACATGCCCGGAGTTCCCCGAAAGGTCTCCGAGCACCGCCTCTCAGTCAAAGCCAAGGCGCGTCCCATACAACAGCGAAGAAGGCATCTGTCAGTCGAAAAGCAAATGGCACTGGAAGAAGAGGTGCGACGCCTCCTCAAAGCCGGATTCATCAGAGAGGTCAAATACCCCACTTGGCTCTCAAATCCGGTCTTTGTACGCAAGGCTGGAGGCGCTTGGAGGATGTGCATAGATTTCACCAGCCTCAATGCGGCCTGCCCAAAGGACGCATATCCTCTTCCCCGCATCGACCAGCTCATAGACGGGACCGCCAATCACGAAGCCCTCAGCTTCCTGGATATGTTCTCCGGATACCACCAAATCAGAATGGCGGAGGAAGATCAAGAGCTCACCGCTTTCATGACTCCCATGGGCAACTTCTGCTACGTAGTAATGCCCTTCGGACTGAAGAACGCGGGAGCGACCTATCAACGGATGGTGGATGCGGTTTTCAAGGAACAAATGGGGCGTAACGTGGAGGCCTACGTCGATGACGTACTTGTCAAAAGTAAGAAGGCGGCTGACCACCTAGCTGACCTAAGGGAAACGTTCGAAACACTGAGGAAAAAGAATCTAAGGCTCAACCCGCTCAAATGCGTCTTCGGCGCTGAAGCGGGAAAGTTCCTAGGGTTCATGATCACAAAACGAGGGATAGAAGCCAACCCGAAACAAATCGAGGCCATACGCGCTCTGAAGCCGCCAAAGACCATCAAAGAAATCCAAGCTTTCAACGGGAAAATGGCCGCGCTCGGAAGATTCATCCCGCGGTCTGCCGACAAATGCTCTCCATTCTTCCAAATGCTGAAGAAATCGGCATCAAGGCTCCAATGGGGGGCCGAGTGCGACAAGGCCTTTCAGCTGTTGACAGACCAGCTCAGTCAGCCGCCCGTTCTGAGCGCCCCCATGAGCGGAGAGCGACTCTACCTCTACCTGGCGGTCTCCGAGCAAGCCGTAAGTTCTGTCCTGGTGAGAAGAGCGCAAGACGGCTCCGACCGACCTGTCTACTACGTTAGCAAGGCGCTTCTTCCCGCCGAAACGAGGTACCTGCCCGTCGAAAAGGCGGTCCTCGCGGTCGCCTCTGCGGCAAGAAAGTTACGACCATACTTTCAAGAGCATCCGATCACGGTGCTATCTCACCTCCCGCTCAAAAGCATCATGAGAGGCATGGACGCCTCAGGTCGGTTGACTAAATGGGCAATCGAGCTGAGCGAATACGACATCGAGTATGCACCTAGGCCCGCCATTAAGGGGCAAGTCCTTGCCGACTTCATTGCCGAAGGCTTCTCCCTCGAAACCGCTCCTTCCGAGGAACGCAATTGCATATGGCGACTGTTCATAGATGGCGCCGCGGGAAAGACCGCCTCAGGGGCAGGGATCGTCATCGAGTCCCCCGAAGGAGTGGTGCACGAAATCTCGCTGAGATTCAGAGAGATCAAGACCAACAACGTCCCTGAGTACGAAGCGCTGATCAATGGGCTTCGGATACTGTCCACCCTAGGTGCCACCGACGTGCAAATATTCTCCGACTCCCTCCTGGTCGTCAAACAGGTTCTGGAAGCGTTCGAGATTAAGGATGAGACGCTAGCGGCATTAGCCATCAAAGTAAGAGATGCCCTGTCTCAGCTGAGTTCGTGGAAACTGGAGCATGTTCGGAGAGAAGATAACCAACACGCCGACGCGCTTTCCAAGCTCGCGACCGCCATGGATTTCGAAGGCGACCGACATGTCACTGTCACCAAAGAAAGTGAACCCACCGAAGAGGTCATGGACA